GAGAGTGAGTAGCGGGATCGTCGGCCGGTTTGTGGGCGGCGGCAGGGGATCGCGGTGAAATGAGATGATGATTTGAAAATCTTGGGGAGCGGAACAAAGTCGTGGTTCCGGCCGCGAGAGGGAGAGGCGGCTTGTCCGCGACGATGTCGTCTTAGAGCTGTCTCGATTGGTTCGAAGACGAGGAGTCCAGGAAGACTGAGCGGTTGTGGAATTGGAGGGCGGCGAATCTCCACGATTTGCTGTCTGCCGAGAAGGCAATGTGTTGGGGAATGGTGTCCAAGTTCTCTCCGTAGATATTCAGTGTTAAATACATCCTCCGGTAACTGAGAGTAATCCCTTGTAGGTGGAGGCTCCATGATGATCGAGGATAGCTTGTTAATGGGCTCTTTGTGGTGATCGAAGATTTGGCCGGTGGCAGGGAGCAGCTGATTGACGGATTGTTCACTGCGGATTTGACGTTTGATACAGCCTGCTGTTGTCACGAATCGATGATCTGGCACTGCCGCCGCCTTGAATTGGAAGCGCCAGGCAGGTTTTAGCTTTTATATATAGTTTTATTGTACTCCTATTTCCTAACCAATTTCAAAACGGAAAAGGTAAAACAAAGAACTAGGTACCATTAAGAAGGTTGATATTTCAAAGTCAAAGCAAGTTACTGCAACTCCGACGTCTGTAAGTTCCTTCCATCAACATAGATTGTTTTGTATATTTGGTGTTTGTAGAAACTCCTAACGATCTTTTCACCTTACTTCCAATTGAACTAGGAGTCTCAGCAAGCTCATATAGTAGAAGACACTTTTAGTAGCATTTTTGCACCACCACGACTTGAGGAGATCCATCACCCTGCTACTCCTCCGAACACTGAATCTAGAGAAATCCACCACAATCATAGGCGATCTCACTGTCGTAATAGACGCAGAATGCACCATCATCGAGAAGCTACCTTGTGACTTGGAGAGTCTGTAGTACATACATCACTGTCCAGGATCATCATCATGTCAAGAGATGCTACTGCACATCCTTGAAGCAGCTCCTTGGCAATGAAAGGAAATATAAACAAATGTCCAGTAGTCATTGTCCTGAAGATGGAGGTTCCCCTCTTATGGGCAAAGCCATATTTGTGCAATGTGTAAGACTTTATGGATGACCAAATCAAGACTGTAGAGCAGTTTTCCAGACTGATGGGGAATATGTTTTTTTACCCTTTTTTCCTCCAAATAAGTGTCTGCAGTTCATAGTGTAAAGCTTCATTGTTGATTTCCCATAATTTACTTGAGGACCTTTGTATCAGCCATTAATTTCAGTTGCTCAGCAGTTCTCAATCTTTTGGGTACTTCATTTTGCGCCGAAACTTGATCACTCAAAAACCTATACACCTCCTGTTTGTGTGTGTTTTTTTCCCAAAGGTATCCCACAAGGTGGGTGATAGCAAGATATGAAATATAAGTACAAGACCTTTGCAGGTTAATTTACAAAAGATAAATAAGGAAGAAGCGTCGGACAATCCAACGACAAGAGGGCTTTTTTTGCCACGATATGGGCAGCCCTAATATACCTATGCATAGACCAGAATCCATGATTGTGCTTCAACCCTTTTCAGGGTGAAAGTGATGGATCAAGTCCATGTGACTGTCAAGTGACCGCAATGCAGCAGAACCTGCCTGGGATAAGGGCGCCGACTACAAGCACGGTAAACACCATATAAGCAACTTCCCTGCCTTACCTACAAAACAAACAAACAGGCTGGCCATATGCCTTACAGACCCATGCCGATGAAGGATGGCCCATAGCCACCTAAGTAGTGTCTGAAAAAATGGTGTTTATGTGTTGACTGCAAGCAAATAAACAAAACGGCCTCATTATCTGTAGTTTGGAAATAGCAACAACAACTTGATTTGTTGCTTCTACAGCTGCCTCCAAAAAAGCTGCTTAATAAGCAACTACACCACAGAACTGTTCACGACTTGCTTTCAATTAGTGACTGGTTGTCACTAAAAGTCTGCTAATTCTCTACGTGTAAGCCACATCCGGGTACTATAACACGGGTATTAGCTAGCCGTGTTTTCATCAAAGCGTGGTCTACAAAACTTGAAAGAAAGAGCCTCATAAAGTAAAAACCTGCAGAGAGATTTCTCAGTGGAAGACTAACACCGATCGCAGCCGAAATTACCAACGACACGGTATTACATTTTCATTTTTATGGAAGGATCCATGACCGTGCTTGTATGATGTATCAAGGAAACTCCATGGAACCTTCATCGTTTGTCATGACATGATTATGCATGCACCATGCAGGCTGCTCTTTCGACATCAACAGTGAAATAAGAAAGAAAGACAACGGTACTGCATCAGACGAGTGAATGAACAAGAAGGAACTCATACTTTGTTTGGGACGTACACTGTATTTACTAGGAATGATTAAGGGGATACGTGTTATATACTAATTTATGTCTAGTCATTTGTTCTACTTAATTGTTATGTGGAACAGTGGAAGTTCGTTAGAATGCGGTTTCGAAGCGGATGTGTGACATAAGAAGGTAACAGAAAGTGCTGGGCCACGTAGTTGAGCGGAATTGGGCTTTAAGTTCCAGAGGAGGAAACTAGCAGGCTCGGGCCAATAGAATGGCAGGCCCAGCAAGAAGGTCGGGAAGACACGCAGTCCCTTTTAGGGTTAGACAAATTAGGAGGAAGGATCCGCTAGGATACGTACCTCGATTTGGGTAAGACTAAGTATTAATTACCCGTCGTAAGCTGTCTACTCGGAGATAAGACATGTTTAGGGCGCCTGACATGGCATTTAATGTCTCTCTCACCACCTAACTGGGTATAAATATCTCATGAGAGCATTGATGGTAAATCCAACTACTTCCTCTCTCCTCTCTCTCTAAATTACACATATACTCTCACTTCTCTCTCTAACTTAAGCTTCGGAAAATGTCCCCGGCGACCGCCCGAGGACCCTTGTTTCGCAAGGTTCAAGAGTGCTTCCCAACATCAAGAACAGACACCTCACTCGTGCTACCAAACCGTCTAGCATCTTCTAGGCACAAACAGAATGGATATTATGTTTGGGCCATTTGTAGTGTTTTACCATAATGGAATTGTTGGCATGCGTCCATGTTAATTGGTTTGGTCGGTACGAAGAATCTTACTTTCTCTCTTTGAGACAAATTCATAACGAATTGGATTGGTCGGTACGAAGAATCTTACTTTCTCTCTTTGAGACAAATTCATAATGAATTGGATTTGGAACACAAATTTATCACTAAATCCATAGCACAAACGACTCCATATATAAGTGGTAGGAAGGTAGAGAAAACCACGAGCCAAATTCCGTTATTATTGTTCTTTTGTGCGGCAATATTTGGCCATTGCCAATGGACACATATGTCTATGGTGCAAACTTGTGCTCGTCACATCACATTGTGGCCTCGTGGGCAGGCAGGTAGCCATTGAAACCATGGAGAGGGCCAAAGGACAGATAAAGGCAAGCCAAATTAGGTTAGAGTTTCCTAACAACTCGAATGGTTAATAAATAATGCTCGACATGTGAATGTAATTATCACATAAAAAAAATATTGATATTGAAAAGTGGGAAAAATAATTAGTTCATCTAGTGTGCACTATGCACACATTGAGGCCATTATTCCCTATTGGTCATAATCTTACTATTCGATCCAAAGCTCTCATATTCATTGATGGAGAATTTGTTGTGTCAATATCGTGCTTTCAAAAATGCCCATGTTATCGTTAAGAGACGAGACGACTCTTGAAGAAATGAAAGCAACCTTTGTGAGTGACCTAAGTAAAGTAAGATGCTCTGTCATCTGAACTCTCTATTTCCATACCATTCATTCAATCCAAACGGTTGGTAGTGGTGGAGCTAGTAATTTAACCGTACAAGTATCCTCTTTGAAAAATTAAATTAGTAATTAAATAATTTTAAATAAGAAAATATCTAACTAATACAAGTTAAGTCTACGATGTGTTTTCATTACCGTGTGAAAAGTTGTAAAATACACTTGGTGTCTACACGGCTCAACAAATATCTCTATCTTACTATACAATCATTCACGAACTGATCGCTTATTCAATTTCAAAACTTGTTCTTAAAGCATCCCAAAACTGAAAATGTTATTTCAACACTTGCGGTTGCAATCGGTAAAATCAATAACTTTGAGAAACAAGTAAATCAGTGGATATGATAGAATGGAGGGAATAAGGGTAGCCCGTAATTAGGTCCCATTGTTAGATTTTGAAAATAATTGAGGAAAGGAATAGCATGTTTACTATTAAACTTGTGTTCAAATACAATAACAAATGAATTGTAGTCTAGTAGAAACCATGTTTACTAATAATTTTAGTATCCTAATTTAAATCACCTAGTCTACCACTTATATTTTTTTTACTCATACGAAAACTAATAGAGTTAATATTTTCGTATGGCCTGAACTTTGACCAAAATAAACATCCTGACCAATCTTTTCGATCTATAACATCATGGCCCGAACTATACACCAAAATAAACAATTTGGCCAGATCTGACTTTTGACCATTAACTTGGACGGTCAAACGCGTTGACCGTTAGTCAACGCGGCATGTCACTGCCAAGTTAGCATAAAATATTTAAAATAATTCATAATTTCCACACATTCCCTAATTTTAAATTATTATAAATTAAAAAAATCATCTAATACCTTAGTTAAACCACAAATAAAAAATGAAAAAATTAAATATTTATCAGATCTTCTGACTTGGCAGTGACGTGGCGCGTTGACCGTTAGTCAACGCGTTTGACCGTCCAAGTTAATGGTCAAACATCGAGTTTTGGCCAAATTGTTTATTTTGGTGTATAGTTCGAGCCAGAATGTTATAGATCGAAAAGATTGGTCAGAATATTTATTTTGGTCAAAGTTCAGACCATACGAAAATATTAACCCAAACTGTTATCGAGATTAAAAAATCGCTATTCCCAAAATTTAGCCAATGCCCCTGGCTCCGTCCCGGTTCGAGATGTTCATAGAAAAAGTAACCGAAGCAAAAACACAATCTCCTCTCAATCCATCAATTTCCGATTCCCTCTTCCTTCCCATCCATTTCTGGAGAGAAGAAAAATAGAAAAAGAAAAGACTAAAGAGAGAACGAACAGTGAAGGCTGGCAAAGGCGCAATCTCTCTCTCTCTCTCTGTTCTATGGACAACAAGCTTTTCTTTTCCTAATCACAAATCAACGAACCCATCTCCCATCCCCACGCCCATATAAACCCCGCAGGCCACTCTTCCACTTGGCCCTATTCTTCCATGAATTTCCATTGCCCATCTCTCGATTCTTTCTCTTATCGCTAGCTTTTTCATCCCCCTTCAATCGCTATAGCCAGAAAGAAAGAAAGGCCGCAGAACCCGTCGTTTGCTTTCTTCCAACCCTCCCTTTTATGTTCCTCAATTCGACTCTCTCACTGAAAAGCTGCTATCTTCTCACGATTTCGGTTCGGACCCATCGCCAGATTTCCCAATCTCGCATCGGGAAAGCGTCTCTCCTTCTCTTTCCGCTGGTTATCGCCTCCACCGCCGGAGACGGCAGCAATTGCAGTTACCCGAGAGGCCCGGGAGAGCAGAACCCAGAAAGCGGCGGAAGCGGCAGCGAAAGCATTATGAAGGTCCATCCTATGCCCAATAGGAGGAACAACATAACAATCCGGTACTATGTAAATCACGGTGGCGGTGGAAACAATCAGAGAGGAGACATAGCCGCCGTCGGCGGCGGTAACAAGAAGCTGAGGAGGCTGCCCCACATTTTCAATCGGGTTCTGGAGCTGCCGTTCCGGTCGGATGCTGAAGTGGTGGTGGAGGAAAGCGCCGATTGCTTCCGATTCGTGGCGGAGGCGGACGATGTCGGAGAAGTTAGGGCTCACACCATCGAAATCCATCCCGGGGTAACGAAAATCGTGATTCGGCCCAATGGGTACATGGAATTGCCGTCACTGGACGATTTGGAGTTGGACATGTGGAGGTTCAGGCTGCCGGAATCAACCCGACCCGATCTAGCCAGCGCGGTTTTCACCGACGGGGAGCTGATCGTTACGGTTCCCAAAGGGGAGGAAGTGGATGAAGAAGGTGATAATAATGGCAGCAGGGGCTATAGAGGTATGGGTAACAATAATAACAATGCCAGGCTTGTGCTTGTACAGTGAATGGAATGGAATGTCTATGATAAAAAAAGGTCCTCTCTTTGCTCTTGCTCTTTCCTTGTTTTCTTCTTTTTCGGTTAATGCTTCCATTTGAAATCGCTGTTGTTAACAGATCCCAAGTTTTAGCCCTTGGAGGTGTTCTTCTGTGGTTGGGAAGACTAGACTTTGTAATGCTTAGCTTTTTTTACCGTATTGAATGAACCAAGTAAAAGGTTCCATTCACCTTCTGTTCTTGAAATGTGGTTGATTGAGCAAATGACATAAGATGAGGAATGGCGTTTGCCCGTTTCATGATGCTTCTCTTGTTGTTCGGACTCAGGAAGAGTCTCATGCTTATCTTCGTTGGTAGACATAAGACATGGTTAGGTTGCATTCAATTGTTTAACTGGGAATCTTGAGATCATGTCATGTTTGCTTGCTTTGTTACTGGAAATGCTTTACTCTTTCATGGTGACTAAGAATATATTCTCAGGCACTATCTGTATCCTTTGTTATGCCTGCCTAATCTAGGACCCTTGAGTCTTGTAATTGTCTTGTAGTTTAGCATTAAAATAAAAACCCACGAGGGGGTAGCATATCAATCTTAAGGAAAGGGTAATCTAAGATCAGAGCATTCTTATTGACCAAGCTTTTTGATCCACTTGTGCTTGAGTGAGTGTTCACCACCTTTTCTCTTTAGGAGCTCTTTTTGGTGTACACGTTTTTTTCATTATGTGCACTTTTTGTAGTGACTTATGACCTGCTTTTATTTCCTATCTCATCAGTAGTGACCTAATTATGCATACCAAAACCTTGATCTTGTTTTCTGATTGAAAGAAGCAAACGACCAAGCCATAGTTGATATGTGATGCTCTAAAGCTTGACAGTTGAATCCATTGTTAGAGGCTTACAGTTCCATTGGGGAAGAATTTTATTGCCCAGTATCCAAATGACAAAGGATACTGGTTTTCCTCATGTTGCTGCAATAGCGCTATATGATCCATGGTTATCTGAATCAAATGATACGATGTGTTGTTTCGTAAAAGAATAGCTGCTGCAATGCCTGCATTGATTGAGGTAACCCGTCTTGGGTTGTGGATTTCTGCATCATGGTGAAAGGAAGTGAAGGAGGTGGCTCATGCACTCAAAAAGCTGTTCATCCATTCTTTACCTCTGAACCCTGGTAAGCTTAATAGTGAGTGGGGAAACGAATGAAGCGTGGCAGAGGTGAGGGCCGAGACTTTAGCAGTATCTATGAGTATATTTGAGATAAGGGCTGGAGAATGAAGAATAAGAATAGATGGCCGCCCAAAGCAGCATCGTGTTCTGAGAGATGGAGACAGCCTCTCAGTATCGTGTAGTAGTGTAGAAGAAAGTGATTCCTTGTTGTGTGGCGTTTGCACTGCACTGCAAGCCTTTTTGCCGTGTGGCTGACTACTTTTTGCCGTATGAGTGTTCTCCATGGTCCTCTTTGGGATTTACGTAACAGCGGCAACCTTTTTCCTGGGAATCTACTGCTGCTTCACAAAACCAACCTTGGTCCAATTTCTGTGTGTTGCACCCGTCTGTCCCAATCTGGAATTCAGACCTGAAAGAGGTTCTCTCTTTTATGAGGTGATTCTTTTAAGTAATCGTAACGAAATTGAGTTGTTACTTTGGTTAGATGGTACTTCTTTGCGTCACTCTTTCTTGGTTCCGGTGTGGGATTCTTGAGTTGATCATTTTAACCAAGGGGAAAAGGAACCAAAGGACAACCCTTTTGGTTATTTGACGGAAAGGAAGCCTCCAGTTTCTATATGGAATTTGGACCAAACAACAAGTTCAGATATCACTTGGTTTTGTCCAATGAAGTAAAAATCGCGATTATACGTAAAAGTAGTTTTGTAACTTAGAAGCGTAAAATGTAAGATTTTAAATTTTAATGCGTAGATTTTGAATACACTTGTAAGTGAAAAGTGTGTTTCTACACAAAAGCGTTTTAATGACCTAAAAACGGAAATGCGTAAATTTTAAAGTTTGAAGTGTGATTTTGACGGAATTGGTTTTGTTGAAATGCGCTTAGTGTTTCTCTTAAACAACTGGGTTTGAGGGTTTTAGTCGTGTGATTTGGTGCATTGCCATAATCCTCTTATAAGATAACTGAGTTTTTTTTGTTTTGTTTTGGAGTGAGGTAATAATATGAGAACATGTTATGTTTGAGAATAAAGGTATTATCCCATTCGATTATTCAAAGCCAAGTGGAAATGTTGTAGGTAAGTAATTGTTGTTGACCTAGTAGTAATGAGAATGAAGTACATTTTATTCGGCAAAACATTTAAGTTTTGGACAGACGATACTTTATACTAAAAACAGTTAAGTCGTGGCTAGTGCGACAAAACTCAAAAGCAATAAGAGTATTTATTAGGTAACCTTAAATTTTGATAAACCTAACTTAAAAGAATAATACGCTTGTCTTTTAGGGTTCTCAAAATTATGATTAACCAAATAATCATTCAAAAGGAATAAAAGTCTCTCTCTTTTAGGGTTATTGGATTCATGGTTAACCAAATAATCACCCAAAAATAGTAGAAGTATTGATTAAGGTTACGAAAATCGGTAATTGTTAATAATTACTCGATAGAAAATAGAAGCATCTTTTAGGAATACCAGAATCATGATTTACCTAATAATCACCCAAAGGCAATAAAAGTATTTCCGAAGGCTACTTAAATTATGTTAACCTAATAATCATCCAAAATCAATAAACACATCTCTTAGGGTTGCGAAAATCGTGATTAATCTAATAACTAACCTACTGCATAAGACTTAACGAATTTCATATAATGTTATAAAGAATGAGTGTCTATGTCATGTTACGATCTATTAAGTAACCGATTTTATCACATCTTTCAAAAAAAAAAATAACACGAATCATCATAAATAAAATAAGATAGATTTTTGCCGCACTAGATTCTGAGATACAATAATGCATTATGCTACTTCTTTGCTTGAGCCTATCTTTCACGAACAAATCATAGTAGGATCTTCTTCAGAAAAATGAAAGGAGATCAGAGTGAGTTTGGCAACGAATGAAAGTTCTGTCCACGGAAGAAGCACAATGGTTCACACAAAGGAACTTGCTCTACAAATAAACTGAAACTCCAATGACCAAGAATCCTTAAGCTGGTCAAAGTTGATGCTCTATATCCTGTAGTCTCTGGGACAGTGGGACTCACACTGGTCCCCTTTCCAACTCTTACAAGACTTTGCCATGTAAATTCACTATGCACTCTATCCAAATTACTCTCTAGCAAGAACACTCGTCCCTTTGGCAGAAATAGCCAGAAAGTCATAGCTCCAGCAGATAGTCCGGTGAATGCTCAAACCCAGAAAAAGAAGAAGAAGAAAAAACTCAAACTATGAAAACCTTGATGAACCTGTGATACACTAACACAAGCATATCACCTTCACGATGGCCCGCCAACGCTTGGCTTCTTCTCCACTTCCAAGCCAAAATGTTCCCTGAGAATGCGTTTGGAGGTCCTCCCAAAACCATTGGCCACTCTTTTCATACGCTCGAGTTTCCTCCTCTCCCAATTTATCTGATCTATCCTGCTAGTCACTGTGCTCCTTAGCTCACCAGCACCTGTTGCCTCTAACTCCAGGCATGCTAGTTCAGAATGCTCTTTCTGAAGTTGTTGATAGAGGTTTTGCAGATTTCTCTTCTTAGCATGGAGTTGTTCCTCTGCGAGCTTCAACTCTAGCTTCTGTGACTTTCGCATTGCACGGAGGACATCCTCGATTTCGGCATCAAGTTGGAGAATTTCAACGCTGTAATCAGGAGATTCGGCCTTCAAATCAAGAAAGGTTGGCTTTTTGTCCATGTCTGTCAAAAGAGCAAAGTAAAGAGACATGCTATAAGCCTTTCAGGCAGTAATTTGAAGATAGAGCATCAGTCTGAGAGAGGGTAAGTCAGAAGAACCATGTCAAATGGATCAAAAGAGAATTTACCGGATGCATCCTCGTCATCTTTACATACATCTTCAAGGGTAGTTCCATGCCTAAGCTGGAGATATCAATATGAAATTGTTAAAACGTATGAAAAAGTAGAGTGAGAAAGCTATTATACTTTTATTACTGCCAAAAAAGCTGAATTCGCTTTATAGGGCAACTGCATCCTGTTGTTCTTGCATTGCACAAGCCATGTTGGCTGGCAGCTACATGGCAGCTGCACTTACAATTCAAATTGTATGGATGTGGATGCAATGCAATTCTAATTACGAAGCCAGCTAATTTAGCAATTGGACTTGCAATGCCACCTCGGATTCTATTGTATTCGCTTCCAATTATTAACATAATATTGTAAGATGTTGCATGTCGCTAGTTGAAATTGTGATGAATTATAGGGATGCATATGATTTGAAAAATTGCCGAATTGAGTGGTTGTAAGATTGTTTTATGTGACATTTGAAATGACAAATTAATTGCAAGGATGGGGATAATCTTACCTTTGTGGCAGCCAATTCAATGCGCTTCAGCAAATCCTTGGCTTTATTTCTCCGAGACCCACGCAAGATGCAGATGCCAACATTTAATATTTTCTCTACCTCGTCTCGAGAATCTATGAACTTGCAAGTTTGTAAGAGCTTCACAGCATGTGGAACCATATCAGTTTTTGCATCACAACGACGGCAGAGGTACTCAGCATCAAGGCCAATACTTCCACCAACAGTTCCTGCCATGTAAGTTCTCAGAGCACACTCAATGTGGGCTAAATGGCTACATATACAGCCTGGAGTCACCACAGATTGGCACTTGATGTAATTGTAAGCACCATGTGATGAAGTAATGATTTTGGAACAAAGAATACAACAACAATCACGGCAGAAACCAGACTCAGTACAGCAAATATCACAAGGCACTGAAGGTACAGGAGGACTACTTCCTATTGCTCCTTCAAGACTACTGCAACCCTTATTTCCTGCCTTACAGCCTCCACCGGATTGGGGATCAAAGGTTAAAGTAGCTGAAGGGGGCACAGGAAAGGCACTGCCATCAATGTCTCCTGTAATAGTTAGAGAAGGATTCCCATTCGCAAGTCCTGCAAACAGAATAAGATAATAAACAAGAAAATCAAACCAAATATCCCGCCACAAGCTGCCTAGTTAAGGCTTGATTACCTTATATTACAGCATAAGGTAGAAATCTTTTCTGATTTCAGAAGCTCATTAACCACGAATGCTACTTTCTTAAATGGGCTACCATGCTACGCGCAACAAATGCAACATACCATGACAAAAAAAATTAACACAAGCACATTTGTACTGCCTGAATTACATTACAGTTGTTAACCTATCGTCATTAACATTCCTCTCATACATTCTATTCCAAGACATAAGCAGTAACTCAAACTCTTAACTTGATAGAACCCACTCATAACTCTATTTTGGGATGTGAATTTCTTGAATAGGATCATAATCCCTACAAGGAATGAAACACAAACAGGCACCAGACCATGAGAATAACGTATACAAGTTGTAGATCCGATGGGAATTTACCATAGAAGGTACACAGGATTTTCTTTGCAAGGCAGTATACTTCTCTTCTTCTTCTTCTTCTTCTTCTTCTTCTTCTTCTTTTTTTTTTTTTTTTTTTTTTGGTAGGAGTATACTTCACTATTTGACTGCACTTGGAAGCCACTTGAAGTATCTCCTTGTTCTTTTACTTGAACTATCTCCTTTTTGGAAAAAGGTCGAGATAATTACCCTCAATAGGCCACATAAGGTGAAACCCAATCATGTTCAATATCATTTCAGGACTTGAAGATATACATTTATGCATGCATATGGTACCATTAACTCTAAGCACAGTTCCAAGCTAAATACCAGGATTACTGCCATTGCTAGTAGCACAGGGATATTACAATCGCGAGCAGAACAAAATAACATGGGACATCAAGGAGGTCCAGGCAAGCAGAAATTATAAAAGCTGTACAGAGAGAGAACTCACTGTTCACGGCGGCCTGGCTAGAAGGGATCCTCCAGACAAAGGAACCAAAGAATGCCTCAACATTGGCATCAGGGAAATGCGTTTGAAGGAATCTCTGCACAGAAAGCTTGCTTGCGAAACCGTTCTTTACACGAGCAGGAGCGCCCACAAGATGGCAAAGGCTTTTGGGGAGATAGAGGAATCTATCCAGATGATATCCAGAGTAGGTTAGTCGTTTCCCAACTTTCCAGCCCCACATGTCTCCAGGTTTAGGCCAATTCTCAGGAGCATAAGGCAGCCCTTCACCAGCCTCATCACATGGAACTGGTCTCAGACGGAAGCGAGATCCTTTCGCTTTAGATGGCGTATTTCCATTGCCCTTCTCGTCAGTTTCCATTGGCTCCTTCCCCATGGAGATCAATCTAGCCGGCCTTTCAGTTCAGTATAAACAGACCACAAAGAAGCCCCAGTGCGTTAACATAAAGACGATGGATATCAAACCGAGTTTTCATATCAGCAATTTCGTTCCGAATTCAAGGGTTCAGGCGCATCTAAAACCAGATAACACAAAACAAAGAGAGATAATAAAAGAAGAGCAGTCGAAACGTTACCGGAATCCTTCTGTTCGAAGAGATTGAGGAGACAAATTAGGGTTCCGAAAAAATCACGAAATGGAATCCAGTTGCCAGAGGAGAGTGAGAGATGATAAGGATCCCAGTGAGTTTCGCAGCAGAGCAGGTTACGTTCGCAAGGGAAATGCCGGAACAATTTGACGGCCTGAAAGCGGCGATTGAAATATACTCAATTTGAATTGCCGTAAATGGCAAGTTAATGAATTGGGTATTTGGAACCCTAAATGCGCTGAGTGTCAGTCAGTTCAGTCAGTAGTCAGTACAC